TGCGATAAATATCATCACATGCCTCTGTGGTCAAAAAGATAAGGTGCCTGCCTAGTAAGCAGAAGATTCAAGTTCGACTCCTGGCTAAGGTGATATTTTTCGCAAAAATAATAATTACGAATGACTGGTTCGTGGTCGGGTCCTTCCGTGACGCACACCTTCCTTTCTTATTTGAGTTCGGAGTAAAATCTCATATTATAGAGGCATATGCGTACCTCTGCGATTATAAAGTTGTGTATCCTTCCGAAAAACGAACGAATATTCATCGCTCTGACCGAAACCCAATATAATCTCTTTAAAATCTTCCATAACAGTGATCGCAGCACGATTCATCAACTCAAGAGCGTTCACATCATTCGGTTTAACGAATTGGTGTGTATCGCAGAATCTCGAAAAATTCCTGCCATCTATTCTAATTACGATCCAACAATTCGGTAAACAACTGTCATCCCGCTCGAATTCCTTCACATACTCAAATTTGCTCTTAGCCATTGTCGTTAAACTCAAATATCGACGCAAGACCACTTGTTTGGTCCGGCTGATAATTCTTAAGAAAATACTATTCATTCAGGCTCTGTCAGAGAAATATCATTATTGAAACATGTAGTATAGATATTGTTGATATTTAAATCGCAGCCACTATCCAAATGACTTATTCTTAGAAGCATAAATAGCTTAGAACTAGGTTGTTGCAAAATAAACACGTTTATTTTAATTATTTGCAAATTTTTAATTGATAAATATTTAGTTTATATGTCTCTTTTGGTAAAAATACACTCAATAGATATCTTTTCATATAAAAATTAAGGTTTAGTATAAAAAAAAGAAAAAAATCGTCGGTCATACTATGAACAGATTATTAATTCAGCGTTGAAGCTAAAGGTTAGAAAATCTGTCATATTGCAAAGGGGGGGGGAGGAGAGATCCTGTTAGCATACATCCTATATAGATGCGGATTTTACAATACGAGAGTACGATTCATTTGGTGCTACAATGCTTCAAAGCGTTATGTAGACCTCACATAATTATTTTCTTGCACTGGATTGGCATTTCTAGACTGGATTCAAGATGTATCATTTTATTCTTATTACTCATCGAATGTTAAACAAGAGTAAAACAATATACTTGAGTGTTATTTTTGAACACACTTTATCTAGTTACAAAATTTTCAAATCTTTTATAAAACCAAAACGCAAGACAATAAGTAAAAAAAAAGAATAACATATAAAAGAAAAAATATGTAAATTCCATTTAAATTTTAAATTATAAAATCATACCAATATACAAAATATAAAAAATATATCAATTAACATTTTTTTGCAATAAGAATTTCTCGTGAAGGATAGGGTAATAATCGATATCATTTTTGAATTATTAATTTAGTAAAAGGAAAAAAATTTAGATTTGATTTTATGCTATATTATGTTTCAAATTTGTCAAAACTATGATGACACATGATTAGTGACATAGACAATTTATTTTGAATTTACATATATAAATAAAAAATAAAAGATTATTAGATATTTAAGATTTGGCTTTGCCGAGTATTATCTGTATTATTTTTTATTATCAAAGATATTCTCAGCTTATGTACTAGAACATTATATTAAATTTTATTTATGTTTCAGACTATATTAATCAGCACAATGGAGAAGGATTTTACTCTTTTCAATGAAATTACGAGCTGCTTACTCTTTAGATTGAAAGAGATGACAAACGTGGAAAACGTTGCTATTGAGCATTATACAGGATGACAACAGACCACTGCAAGATCTACTTGCAATAAAAGTTTTTTAAATCAAGTTAGTATTATCATAAATGATTATAAATACACATTAAAATATTAATAAATTTCATTTACATTCAATTTGTATATAACATAAAATTGTATTTTATGATTAAACAATATATGAACAAACAAATCTATGGATGATAAAATAATAAAAAATAATAAATATTAACAATTCAATCAATAAAAATTGCATTCATCTGCATTTATTCAGATCATATCACTAAATTATAATAATTTTCACAATATTCACAAATTATTTATATTGATTTTTCATTATATTTTGGCTAAACACTTATGTATGGTGCTACATATTTCGTTTTCATTCATGATATAATATTATTATCAATTTGTTGCTTCTTTCGTCGTTTTAATATATTTGTCAAGAAGTATTCTCCAGCTTTATATGATGACCGTACTAATGGACCACTAGCAGTATACAAGAACCCTAGTTGATTTCCTATACTTTCCCATGCTTTAAATTTTTGGGGTGTTACATATTCGATAACTTTTAAATGTCTTTTAGTAGGTTGCATATATTGTCCTAATGTTATAGCATCTACACCAACATCTCTTAAATCTCGCATAGTTTGTTCGACTTCTTGGTCAGTTTCACCTAGGCCTAGCATTATTGATGACTTTGTGATTAAATCAGGATTGAACTTCTTAGCTGCTTGCAATACAGCCAATGACTGCCTATGTACAGTAAGAAATAGATTGATTTAGATTGTAAAGAAATATAAAGATTTATTAATGAACACATGTATGATATATTAATGAATGTACCTGTATCGAGCACGAATATCACGGACAAAAGGAGTTAAACGTTCTACAGTTTCGATGTTATGTGCGAACACATCTAGATTGGAATTCACAATTATAGCAACACAATTTTCATCACCTCTAAAGTCTGGTACCAAGCATTCCACTAAAATATTACTCCTATGAGGAAACATGAAGTATTTTATATGTGATATGGATAAAATATGATACATCTAAGTACTATCTACTTTGTTCTATTTGTCTATTTGTCTATTTGTTCTATTATATAAGAAAAAAGAAAATATTTGCAAAAATACCTTTTTTTTATTTCCTTAACAGTAGATGCAATATGATTAGCTCCACCATCCTTTAAATCTAAAATAATTCATATGTGTCAGATTCTGGATTATAATATCATTTAAGTATATGATCTGTAATACTGATTTATATAATTAACCATCACGATCCACAGATGTTAGAACAATATAATCCAAACCCCAATCTGTTATTGCAATAGCAGTATTGACTGGTTCATCTACATCCAATGGTGGTGGTATGCGCGCAGTTTTGACAGAACAGAAACGACAGCCACGAGTACATGTGTCTCCCATTAACTAAAGAAACAACCTATTTCAATATAATGATGTATTTATTATAGAATTCTGACATATATTTCATGCTTTCAATATTATAATGGATGAGTAAATAGATTTGTTTTATATTGTCTGTTTAATTAAGTATAACTTAAGATTATTATAACAGATTATTTTTGCATAATAGAATGTCAGGTGTGAAAATTAAATATTAAAAAAAATTTTTAATTATATCAAAGATATTAGTTTTAATATTAATATTTATCAATTTCCTACAACTAAAATAAATTGATTAATATAAATATCTCAGGAAATAACAACGCTGCAATTTTATAAAAATAAGACCATACTCATATATATTATATTAGTATATCGATATACTAATATAATGGCCAATAAAATTGTCATGGATACTATTTCGATTCTTAACTTATTATACAAACCATGATAGTAGCTGTTGCTGTACCATGACTACCTCCACCCCAGCATTCTCCGATATTTGGACATCTAGCTTCCTCACAGACCGTACTCAGTCGTAGCTGTCTTAATTGTGCTTTTATCTTACTATAACTCTTGCCCATAGGTATCTCTGTTTTCAACCATGGAGGTAACCTCAATCGGCCTGATTCATTTATTTCCAATTTTAGTTTCCCTTTATAATCTTTAAAGTCATTCTTCAAAAAGTCTTCAAATTGTGGACCATCCATTAATTTCTCAGAAAATCCTTTCTTTTCTGTCAAAGTCCGTGCACACTGCTATATAATATTCTTGTTAAATCTTTGCCAAATGCAGTTGCTTAAGCAATTTAGTATTGTGACAAATTGTGTATAGGTTCTAAAAGCATCGCGTGTATCTTTCGGAAATAAAACAAATTATCAAAACTCACCGTCAAACGAAAGTGGCAGCCAATACATTTAAAATTCGCAGTATTGAGTATCCGTAACATATTTAAAAGTTTGAGAAAAACTTGCCAATATTGTAAAATCAGAAGCGATTAACGACAAACTTTTTTCTCTTTTTTTTCCGATTAAACGTGGATTAAGATTATAACCAAACAAGGCTACATCAAGAACGTCATCTTATTTTGTTAATAACTTTTTTACTAGTAATGTGCAAACGATGAGCAATCGAATGAGTTATAGAAACTTTATGTTTTTCAATGTTGGAGGGCTATCTTCATATAGGTTATCTCAAGGCTGTTTCAAAATTTCATTGAAGGCCTGAGATCTGAGGCTTCTCTCTGTGTGTGTGCATACGTAGATGCATTTTACATATTTTCCCAATATACATTTATTAAAAAATATTTTTTAAGCGATTAGTGTCGGTCCAATAAGTATTTAATCTTTAAGCCGTAAGAAATTGACTAATCATAGTCGAGTATTTTTTTTATATTCAATTATAATTGGTCAATTTCTTACTTCTTAAAGCTTAAATCACCTTTGTGGACCGACATTTAGATAGTAGATACTTTTTACTTGTATTAGACCTGTTCTACAATGCATTGTGTGTGATGTCGTGGTCATATGAATGGGCCAATCACAATCAAGTATTCTCTCCACATTTGTCTGTGACTGGTCAATTCTTGCTTGCGGCTTGCGGCACCGACACACGACGCATTGTAGAACAGGCCCTATGTACGTCTACAATAGAGAAATAAGCCTTAAATCATAGGAATTAATCAAACATAATCAATTATTCTTCTACGAATCGATTGATCAATTTCTTATGGCTTTATTTCTCTATTGTAGACGGTGCCCGATTGGCCAATTAAAAATAAAATTTTTTGATTGGTTGATCCAGTGGAAAATCTCCAGGCATCGGTCGCTGTGTGTTCAATTGCAACGGGACGCTCTCGTACATTCGCGATACATTCGTATAGTACATTCGATATCTTCTTCAGAATACGTTTGCCGCGTATGCGTGAGAGAAGTGATTCGTGTACCATCATTGGTTCAATCAAGTGTTGCAAGCTGCAATTATGTTGACACTTGACACGTCGAAGTCGTAATCTCCGCGGTATCCGCGTTTCGCCGTGACGTTTAATTGCGATTTCTAACACTGACACAACGTGTTTATTGATATAAGATAAGCGCGCAAGTATAATCTTGATAATTTCGGCCGCGCCGCCGTTGCGCACAGACAGCGCGTCGTCGTAGAATGTTTCTCATTCTACGACATTTTGTAGGTTAGAATCTCCCATTCTCTACACGTCTGCTTGTGATTCGCCGACCTATTTTCTTGTCTTATTTCTCCACGAAAATTCGGACGCGTGTTTGGTTTGTTGCCAAGCGCGAAGAAACGCATACGACACAAGGAAACAAACGTTGTACTTGAGGGACGCGATGCGATGACTGCCGGTGACTGCTAAATCGTAGGTCGACTCGCCACGATTGGTGCAAGAAACGATCAACAATGGCAAAATTTAGGATGCTGCCACGCACGTCGCGCATCGTCGCGCTCTGCTCGGCTGCGAATTTTATAAATGCCGCGGACAGAGTCATCATGCCCATCGCCATTGTCCCGATGACCGATGAGTTCAAGTGGAACCTATACTGGCAAGGATGGATATTGTCCGCGTTTGCTTTCGGATATTTTACCAGTCAGGTAATCATTTCCGTACTCTTCCATATCACTACTGCGTAATATTTAACGCATAATTTTCTCTTTTAAGATCATTGGTGCAAGTACGGCGAGTCGTTTTGGTTGTAAAACGGTACTCATGTTAGCAGTTTTGCTATGGTCCATTAGTACAGTTGTCACACCATTGCTAGCACAGTCTGTACCACTACTCATAGTCTGTAGGGTAGTCCTAGGACTCGGGGAAGGATTAGGTAAAAGATGAAGGATCCATAAAAAAATTAATATCTTATTTCTATTTTTTTATGTCTATTAATTTGAACTTTAACTTATTCTTTACTCATTCTGAGATTTTTAGGAGTTAATACAGTGTAGTTTTCAGGCCTACCAGTGATATTTCACTTATTCGCTCATAACGTTCCTGTAGAAGAAAGATCACGTGCTTTTGGTTATTTAGTAGCTGCTGGTTCTGTTGGTCAAGTAGTTGCATCTGTTGTAAGTTTTGCTTATCTTATTTTTAATATATATTGAATTATAAAGAATTGTATATATCTTCCTTTTTGTTAGATATGTCCGCACTTGGCATGGAAAACTGGATTTTATCTATTTGGAACAATAGGTATCATATGGACTTTGCTATGGCTGATGTTATATCAGGAAACGAATTCTCAAGATGAGATACCATTATTTGTCCCTAAAGTAAAATTCTCTGTTTAAATCATCTCTTATTATATTTTTATCTCACTTATTCTTTGTAATAATTGACAGATAGCTCAGAATAGAAGCTTGCGTTGGACTGAGTTTATCACCCACTGGCCCTTGTGGGCTTTGTATATAGCACACTTTGCCATGAATTGGAGCAATTATATAATAATGCAATGGCTACCAACATATTTAGCAAGAAATTTGTCGGCAAACAAGGAAAGCATTAGCTTAACAGCTCTTCCTTATATTGTTAATTCTCTTATTGGTATTGGTAGGTATATAATATATCGCATATTGCAATATATTATGCTTGTTTTTAATATTTATCTTTTGAAAGTAATTTCTATACTTTCTTTTGCAGTTGCTGGCCACAGTGCTGACACTTTAATACAGAAAAGATGGTCCGTTTTATCTGTTAGAAGATTGATGACAAATATAGGCCTAATAGGACCAGGTGCATTTTTATTAGCTTTCTGTGCTGTAGATAATCTGCTTGCTGCAGTCATGTATGTATGACGATTACTGTTATTATTTATATATTTTACATTAGAAATTTTTTCCCTTATGATAGAAATAGGATTTTTATATGTAAATTATTATCTTTCAGCTTTGTTTCGATATCCATGGGCCTCTGTGCATGCAATTCTGCTGGACACCTAAGTAATCACGCAGATATAGCTCCGAATCATGCAGGAATTACATTTGCAGTTTCGAATACAATTGTACATATTCGTTTTTGTTTAAATTAGTATCGAATTGATCAAAAATTGTATTATCTATGTCATGTATTCCTTAATTTTCAGGCAACAGTACCTGGAATTCTCTGTGGACCACTGACGGCCGAACTAGTGACTGCTTCACATGGTTGGTGGATGCCCGTCTTTGTGTTGGCGGCAGCAATTAATTTCACTGGGGCTATAATATACCAAAGCCACAGCTCGGCGCTTCCAGTGTTATGATATGTTCTATCTTTCATTCAGTGGTTATATATTATTGAAGAAAGAAAAATGATCAAGTGTTTGTTGAAGACGATGATAAAATGTTTGCTCTGAAATTGTTGTGAATGTCTGATAAAATAATTGTGAATATTTAGAAAAATATGGTGCATTTGGTCATTGCCAGTCAAAGACATATCATGATACTTCATTTATACTTTAAATAAATTTTTATTATCTTTTTTGAAACCACAATGTGTGATTTTGACAAATAGTGCCATACTTTGATGAAATGAAACTGGTTTGAAGAATTGAAAAATGTAAAATATATATTTGTAAAATTCATTGTATACATCTCTTAATTTATATATGTATTATTCGAAAATTTACAAAAACTATGAAAACGTTTGTGATATGTTATAATAAAAATTGAAAATTTTAGTTATATGATTAGAATATAAAATGTATATTCTTTAAAATGTAAGACTGTATATAAAAGAATATTTTTACTTTCACATTTATATATATTTTTTGAAACTTTTTAACACAGAGAGAAGAATCTATTCATTTGTATGTGAAAATTAGTAAGAACGTGATTTTAAATGGTGAAATTACGAACAAAACGTAATGATTTAAAAATGTTTTTGTATTTGATTTAGAAAGAACAATAAAAAGTATGTTAATGATATTTCCACTATACATGGATGTTGCATGAATTGTAAAGATAGATTCTTTCTCAAATATTTCGATTGCGATATGTGCAATCAGGCAATAATTCGCTTTTCGATAAATTTTGATTTAGATCATTTAATTCTATTTAAATGAAGAAATTTATTTTGGCAATCTGTGTTGATTATCTCTAAATATTGAAAAATCTTATATCGACCTCTTTCGTCTCTCGTGTATCATTGTGTAATCGTGTATCACTATATAATCCTGTATCTTTATTGTCACGAATCTTTTATTCTCTTGAATAGCGTCAAAAGAGATTGTTCACGTGATATTACTTGCAGTATTTATACAATGATAATTTTCATTTGTACAATTTTTCGAATTATTATCATGTTTTTCAAAATATGTTTGCGATCCAATATTGTAGCTTGCCAGAATGTTCGCGATATTGCCTGCTGATAATTCCACATTTCGAAAACACTCTTCCCCCTTTTCTTTCATGTTGTATGATTTTTGAATATTTTTATTATTATAATGTCGCAAATACTTTTCAATGGAAGATTTGATCCTCATTTTTATTTTATTATCATCATCTGTAAACGTTGGCTTTACATCTATAGTTGTAAATTTATTTTTATTTAAATCTATAGTTGTATATTGATTTTTATTGTTGATATTCGGTGCGATTGTGTGGATTGATGTAATATCATTGGTGATATCGCGTTCGTGCGCTTTACTGTATATAGATCGCCCTCTCGCAAGGTATTTTGAAAGTAAATTTTTGGAAATTTGTTTATCCATCGAAATATTTTTCGCGGCTTCGTCAAATTGCATCCTCGCTATATCTTTATTAATTATTTCGCTATCGATGTTTCTCAGACGAGATACATCTGTAGATTTGATTTCTGTTTTCTTGTCGGGAAAGATTATGGTTCGCACGATTTCGGCTTCCTCCTGTAAACTCGGCTTATCGCCCGTTTTAAGGACATTCGTTGCCCTTTTGTACAAATAACGGTTCGCTTTAGAATTCATATAATTTCCCTGAACTCCATCTATCTCGCATGTCATCTTCCCTTGCATCTCATATAATTTTTTTTGTTCGCATATTGTATATACAATCTTTGTCTATCGTCCACTTTCTTCCTTCTCGTAATGCTTGCCACGCTGATTTTGTGTTCTCCGCTTCACAATCTATATCGCTTCTCTCATCTAAATACAAGTAAAATTTTTAAAGCTTATATTATATAGTAAATATAAAAAAAAACATTAAAATTTTTTTACACAAATACGATTACTCGATAAGGCATAATAGAAATTTACATTCATTATCAAATTTGTTTAGTGTCCTCGTCGGATCTTCTTTGGCAAGTATCGGTAGGCAAGTATTTTTCGTTAAAGTAGAATTCATTACATTCAAATTAGGATCAATCGTTACAAAATCGGTATATGAATTTAATTCCGGCAAAGTAGTGAATGACTTTTGCTGTGGAAGGTTTGCAGTACGATTTAACGCAGATTTGTCGAATGACGTGATATCTATATATAAATTATGAACAATAACATGGATGAATATGTAAACTTGGAATAATTAAATTGGAATAATCTTGAAATAGTTAAATATTTCTTATCAATCAATATAAATATGTTTGCTCGCGTATCTATAAATTATGAAAATTTTAAAACATATAATTTAAAAACTGAAATACAGTAATTAATATAAAGAAAGACTTGATGTTTAAATAATTTCATACCTATCCTAGAAGGCAGTTTTTGCTCAGAGTTATTCGTACACGAATGAGTCTGCGATGTCAATTGACGTGATTGTTCGGTATTGACGAGTGGATTAATAAATTCATAAATGAAATTATTTGTTGCTGAAATTCTCTTTACTGCATTGGCATGTAATTTTTTACCTTGCTTTGTTATATTTTCTGCTACCTATCTTGAAAAATATTCTTATTTTCTTATTCTTATAGCAATTCAATTAGTTCAGTTCAATTAAAACAATTTTACAATCAATATTCTCCAAATTAATTACAAAAAACTTCATGATAACAATGCAAATCATATGAGAAATAATTATATATTATTTTGAATCTCATTTGAAACAAACATTGCAAACACAGAAACGTACAATATCGCGTTTTATTTTAGATTTCAGAATTTCCTTGTTAGAGGATGTCACTTCAATTTTATTCCGAACAGCATCGACTTGTGATTTTCGATTCTGTTTATTATACTGAAAGTTCAAATTGTCCTTGTTTTGGTCGCCTTGCACTTTCAGATTCCACGGAACTTCAAGCAGTTTCTTGCTATCGATTTTGGCAAGATGCGTTCTGCATAGATTTAAACGGTTTAGACACATAAACATGCCTTATCTTTCCAAGAACACGAAGATAAAAAATTTACTTTGTATTAGTATCTGTACAATATTTTTCTGAACACTGCTTATCTTCATTCTTTTCAAAGAGAGACCCAGTATAATCAGTTGTTCTTTCGATTTTTCTCTGATTGCGTTGACATGACTTTTTAGAGTTACTAAAAATTAATTTTAAGATATTAAGAAATTATGTATGTTTTTAAAATGTGCGTGTAAAATCTCCTTGTTTACCTACTTTATTTTGGAGAAAGCAGCTAATTTGCCTTTTTTGATCACATGCTCTAACAATGCCTTCTCCTGTTCTTCCCGTTCTGCTTTATCCACAAAAACAGACAAGGCATTGATTCTATTATACTCCTCGCAATTTCGTCCTTTAGTACAAATGGTATTTAGATTCGTTGTGGCAAAGACGTTAACACAAAATATGTTAATGAGAATGCAAAACGATTGCAAGGCTTTGATCCTTGCTGATTTTGAAATTGATGTATTCTTTTCGACTTTTCTTTATCAAATTATATTTTTCAAAATTTATATGATCTTCATTATTTAGACAAAAATATATTACTTTTATATGTATATATATATATATATTTTTTTTTCTTTTATAAGAAATTCGAAAGCAAATGGAATAAAAGAACAAAACAATCGTGCGATAACAATAACCTTTCTCACTGGATATGTTTGGTTATAAAAAATATCACAATTAATATTTAATTCAGTAAAAAGAAAAACGCTAAAATTATCGATATAATCGAGAAGCAAATTTCGATATACATTCATTCGATTAAACAATAGAACAAATTGTTTTATGTAT